AATCACAAAGCACATCCGTTGCATTATACCTCATTAAAATGAATATTCCATTCAGAATAATTCATCATTAAAATATAGACGGCCAAGGCCTCCTCCACAACCTGTGCATGCATTCGGATAATAAGCACGAGGAAATCGCTGATTTATCGGAAACTTTAAGCTCGGTTTCTGCCCTTTTCTAAAACGTACCTACACCCAAACACACCCACACGCACACAAACCTTGAAGACATCGGGTGTGCTTCTACTTTTACTTCTTCTCTTCTTTTTTTCCATCGGTCGTTGAATAGAAAGTTTGGCGTCGAGCGCGCAGGAGCGGATGGCTGCTTAAAAACTCATTAAAATCACGATTTTTCATATTATACTGTCGTTTATCATTCGTCGTCGGGTGGTGGCTGGCCGGCCATCGAAGAATTCCAATATCTCCTTCGACGATTTAATATGATTTATTGCCGATCAGTCGATTACGCGCCGTTGTGTGCGCCCTAATTTTTTGTTAACTCCAGCCGCGTGAGTGTGTGTGAGTGAGTGGATTTGAATGTGACGCCGCTTGGCGATTTTTAATCTGAAAATATATGAATATGCTTGGAGTGGGCGGGCAAGTGAAGCTGAATAGAGCTGCGCGCCGGCGTAGACATATTTAATGCGGTGCGGCGTGTTATTGCAAAATGCGAACTGGATAACAATACAATTTTTGAATGCTCTGTAGCTACCGCTTTTCCGCGTAACAATGCCAGACAATGAAACTTGTTATTCAATGTTCTATCTACCTACTTATTATACTAGGCAATATACGCTCAGGGACGTCGTGTGCGGATACGCAAAACAATAAATAATAATTATTCATTTGTTTGATATATTTACATATAATAAATTAAATGGGCAAAAGAAAAAAATCGCAGCTTATGTTATAAGAGGAGATATACTCTAGGAAAAAAGTAACGAAAATAGATTTCACTTTTGGTTGGGAATTCGATTCGGGTTTACTTCTGGCGCGCTTTTCTTTCGATAGCCAGATTTATTTCGCAGCCTCGAAAGCAGGTGGGATTTAATGGGGAATACAGAAGTGCCTGCTCGCATATAACGATACACGCGCGCATTCCGTTTGATCTCCCAATTGATCTATGAGGGTTAAACGGAAAATAGTGGCGGTTTCGAATTGAATTATTTGCGTTGGCCCCTGTTGCGAGTTGGTTTTGCTCGTCGGTACAATGACGCTGAACCACCACCACCCTTGCCTGTTGGTCAACCGTGCCGCCGCCGTCGCAATAAAAGCAAAAGCAAGCCCTCAAGCCGACAAACGCCCCGACAAAGAACTGCCCCTGCGTCGTGTAACGAATCGACTCTGCTTCGGGTTCGGAAAATGTACTCGTTGCGTAAACCCTAAAAGGATCTAAGGACTTGACAGAAATGCCAAACTAAAAGGATATTTTGAGTCTATAAAAATGTTACTCTACCGTAAAATATCGTTAAATTCGTATTTATTTTAAAACCACCGCATCATTTTCTTGTTTTTATAGCAAATATTTTACTAAGTAATTAATTAAATTTCATGCTTGAAACTTGCTGAATGTATAATTTACGCTCAATGTTTTTCTTACCTAATTAAATTAATTTTTTACACGCCGCTGGGATTTATTTGTTCTATCCTGTTATTTTTACCTGCGCTAGGTAAATTTATCGCAGAGCACAGAATTGCGGCGCATATTTATGAGATAATAAAGTTCTCATTAGTTTTATCCCCTTTTTGCACTGCGCAAATGGAAAATCGTTCAAAAGTCGTAAAAATAGCGAAACTAGTGAACACAATAGCAACGTATATCGATGCTAAGTTAAACGCGAGTTGATTTATCGGTGGTTGTGCAAATTTATGATCGTAAAAGAATGTGTTTTGGAATTGCGAGTCGCTTTTTACGCCCGCTCGCAATTATACATTAGCCTCGAAGTCGGTAATGCCGAAGAACGTTTAACAAGCCATCGCTTCAGTTCGCTCTGCTTCATTAATCACGCTTTTTAGTCGTCGTCTCAAAGAAAAACATCAAACGCACGACTTCTTATTGTGACGTCAAGCAATTGAAAATTACAACAAACGAATTTCTGCAAAAATACACGACCTAGTTGCTTATTTGAATATAGAAAAATATAGTTTAATCAAATGGGAAGCTAAAAGTTGAGCTAGAAAAAAACATATCATGTAAATAAATAATTTATTGACTTATGATGTTGAAGGAACGCGTATGTGAAAGGGCGAAGAGTGCTTGAGCATGCATGCAGTCCTTTACTCATTCGCCTTTTAATCTAATGTCCGGCTCGTTTTCCTTACTCTTTGCCTTTTCGAGCGGGCGAGCAATCCATTGCTTTCCATCATGCCCGTGTCATGAATATTATAAGAGATTAAAGGAAATTCTAAGGTCGCTGCTTGCTCTTTACGTCCGGTTTTTTCTTCGCGTTGAAAAAAATAATGTGGACTGACGGGTCAATTCTTGAGATTTATTGATTGTGATGTTGCCTAGGTTTCAAACTACTCAAACTACATCGCAAAAAAAACATTTATTCTACATAACCTTAATTTTAAACTAAATTAAATAATTCTCCACCAGATGTCACTACTTTTCCATAAATTTAACCTAAAATGATATTGTCACACTAAAATAAGTTAATGTAAAAAGAATAGACAGGTAATAAATATTTCAATGTAATATTTTGTATAACTGTTCAATTTCTAACAAAATGAAATGCATATTAAGTTGTTTTAATGATATATTCAATATTGCGCGATCGATGTGATCGTTGGCTTGCTCACAACGACATCATTTCCTCAACGATCGCATTTATTTGCTCGACAGCGGCGGCGGCGGCAAATAGGCAATGATTACGTTAAATATACATCACCCTCTCACATGCATCACCTACAAATGCAATTTGTAAATAGGCCAAGGTGCTTTACATACATTAAATATTTACATTCACGTATTATGGGCATTATGTGCATCTAGACTATGTGCAAGTAAATGAATGCGTAAAAATACATCAAAAACACACGCAAGCCTTTATGTAATATGTTATATTAACATTATTAATCGATTATGACTTTATGAGACTGCGCAGATAACGAATTGATCGTAATTAATAAAACGTTATTACGTTTTTATATATTTTAATTATTGTAATGGTTTTTAATGAATAAACGCAATAGAAATTTGTTTTTTCTTGTTTTGTTGTTGTTTAACAGTTTTAAAACTTTGATTGTTTCGCAGGTTTGCGAATAGAACCAAACATTGTGTGCGTATAAAGGTGTTAATCATTTGGCGACATTGTTATCTCTATCGGAGCGCCTCGACGCCGACGTCGACGTTTCGCTTGATTAGTCGCCTTGTTTGAGCGTTGTCTAGTCGCAAATCTAGGATAAACTAGGAAAAGTGTTGATACATGCAGAAGCGCTGCGGAAAAGCGACGCGCTCGTTTTCATCAAGCGCCACCGCCACCAAATACGCGCCGATAGCGTCTGCTTAATGGCGTGTGCAACATTATCAGTCGCGGTGGCGGCGTGCGGCGCGCACACCGGCTTACACCAACACGTTTTCAATTTGTAAGCATTTTCGACGCTTGCCGTTCAGCCGCAACCGCCATCGTCGCCTCATCGATGTCAAAATTTAGAAATACATTACGAACAACTTGCACCAAACTCCCGAATTTAATGCCTTTAATGACTTTAAAGTTGATACTCGGTTTTGTTTTCACTTGCGTGTGCATAGATGATTGATTTCCGTTTTTTATTCGAGACAAACAAATTTCAACTTAAATTCATGTTTATCCTGGTAATAGTATAATGATTTTCGAGGAACAACTTTCAGTAATTTTCATTTAACAGCAGTTTTTTTTCTGTGTGAATCAAATACAGTCTGGTATGTTGTTAAAGAAATGACAGAACACGCCGCAGTATAAACGTGCATAAATAAAATACGGCATTACGAAAACTATCGGAAAATCGCTTTCATGAGCCAACAAACGACGCCGGAGGTTATTGAATGCGTACGAAACCGAAAACCGCAATTCACGTGAAGTGATTTATGTCAATGGCGTTTTATTTATACGGCACTAACAAGTCATGTTTATATATTGCATATTTTACAATGCCGCATAGATGAGTGAATTTTATTGGGGAATATTGTCTGCCATAACAGGCTGGAATTCGTTTAAATTATTATTTAATATTATTTAAATCGTTGTATAATAAAGGAGTATAGTAGACATTTTCATAAATTTGTTTTCTCATAAATATTAATTTAAATGATAGAATAGAGACAATATTACATTTTTACGGAAATTTATTCAAGTTATCAAAGTGATGAAATGAAGACTTTGTCGTAGACATATTAATAAATCAAAAGTAATAAAATATTTACTTAATGTTTATTATTTTATAAATTTATATATGAATAAGAAGAAAGAAAAGAGGCAAAGATAAAACAATTTCAATAACTACATCTACTCGTTAATTTTTTGTTATTTTGAGGAAAATTAAACTAAAAACTGTTTTTTGCAGTTTTAACCCCAATATTTGGCTACTGTTGTAACAAAACGGTGTCAATATTTTAAAACATAAGCAAGGTTATGTCCAAGGTATACAACCGCATAAAATATTCAAAATTTTCCAAAATTTGAATAAATTTAACGATAATAATTTTAACCACTCCATTTGCACCATGCTTAATTGGTCCATTTAACTTTTATGATCCCCACAGCTGATTCTGTTAGGTGCAAGCGGCATTTGTCAATAACACTTACGATCACAACATAACGACTTACATAAAAACTAACAAACATCGCCGGCCATAAAACACCAATTCATCGGAGGTTGTTTGTCGCTGAACGTTTTATGCGGCATTAAATTTTTTACACATGCGTTTAATCTGAATTGCTTGAAATTTTGAAAAATTTTTCAACCATATATAACAAAACTTTCATTTACTGTTTTCTGTTATTGTTAGTATTGTTGTTGTTTGTACAAGTTTCACAAAATAATAATACCATGCGTGGTATTTTGTCAATGGTATTCGTCGGTATCTTGTTGGGGCGATCAGAACAAGCCAACATTTTAATGATGGCCACACTGATGTCACACAGCCATCATTTCTGGAATGAAGCCATCGCTATTGGATTAGTCGATAAAGGACATAATGTTACCGTGCTGTCACATGATTACACACAAATTAAAAGGGATAATTTTACTGTGATTACAATTGATGGTAGGATATCACCTATTTTTTTCTCTGTTTACTTTGTGTTTTATGTTTAAATATAATTTTCTATAGGAGCTTATGATACATTTGCATATGCTTATAAAGGAAGCTCCTGGAGGAGATTTTCTCTGACTCCGTTCAATTTGCGAGCGCTCGTTGATGACTTCAACCACTACTTCAATATCGAATTGTGTGAATTTGATCTCAATCATCCTGCATTTGATGCATTATTATCTTACCCAGACGATTTCAAATTCGATTTAATCTTGTGGGATCACACTGCTGGCGAATGTCTCTATCCCGTTATCGAACGCTTTGGTAATCCACCACTGGTCGGTCTTAGTCCGTATGGTTTGACCAATTCTATTGAAGCATTGTATGGAGGCCATGTATATCCGTATATTGGACAAATAATAATGCCGTTTACAATCGCCACAACACTCTGGCAGCGGCTATTTAATACTATCTATATTAATTATTCAAATTACAAAAGAATATCTTATCTGAAACCAGTGAGTGTGGAAGTTTCGCAGACGAAATTTCCTAATTGGAATATAGAAAAATTTGAAGAAGTTGAAAATAGGTTTTCATTGTGTTTTGTTAATTGGAATGTGGCGTTGAATCATGCACAGCCTATGAATCCGAATATTATTCCTGTTGGTGGTGTGCAAATCAAAGAAAAAGAATTATTACCGAAGGTATTTTGTTTTAAAACAAAATATAAGATAATTATTAATATTTTATGTTTTAGGATATCCAAGAAATTTTTTCTAAGCCATCAAAAGGTGTAATATACTTCTCCCTAGGATCTAATATCAAAAGCGAATATTTGTCGTTAGAGCTTCTTCAATCTTTCGGCGATTGCTTTGCAGAATTATCCGACTATCAAGTTTTATGGAAACTTGAACCGCCTGCAAACCTCTCACTTCCAACAAACGTAGTGACTGTAAAATGGGCGCCGCAAACGGCTGTTTTAGCACAGAAGAAGACCAAAATGTTTATTACACATGGAGGAGGCCTAAGCACCCAGGAAACAACCTATGCTGGAGTGCCGATTGTAGCATTACCACTGTTTCTCGATCAAATCAATAACGCAGAAAAACTTAGAGAAAGAGGCGGCGGAGAAACAGTCACCTTAGAAGAATTAGAAGACCCCTCACAGAATATATTTTGTAAAAGGGTTAAACAAGTTCTTCATAATGCATGCTACACTAGAACTATGAAAGATTCATCAGCGAAATATCGTGATGTCAAAGTAAAACCTCTTGATGAAGCTGTATTCTGGACGGAATATGTTCTGAGACATGGAGATATTAAACATTTGAGTCCGAAAAGTCGATCTATGAATTGGTACTATACTCAGAATTTAGATCTCTATCTAGTAATAATATTTATTATTGTGATACAGATATATCTCATTTATTTGATAACTAAATGTTTTAAATTTGGTAAATTTTAAATTTTATTGAAAGTGTTTATTGAATTGTTTAGATTATAGTTGTTTTAGTTTATAAAATAAAAGGTATTCAATTAGAAAGCATTGTGTAAGTTGTTGACTTACCGCACCGCAAACAAAAGCTTCATTAAAATGGTAAAGGAAATACAATCCGGAAATTTTCCGAGCATTTTCAGCTTAGTTGCTTTGCGTTCACGCGGTGTACAGTTACGCAAAGTTTTCCTTACTGATATACGACTATTTGTTTATGCCCGATTGCGTGATATCTCTTCATCGTAAACTATGCTTTGATCGTGCAACCAATCACTTTTGTTTAAAATTGTTTGAACACTGGAATTTTACACTTTTTAAAATTATATTAAAGCTGTAAAACTATAAGCTGTAATTATTGTGTACTACAAGGGAAAACCCTTTGATTTAAATTTTAACATGACACAAACAAGATCCGCTTTCAGTAGTTTGGGTCAAAAGAGAAAGTACACTGTAATTGATTTGCTGGGGTCTGTAATCACTAAAAGTACATTATTTTGTTTTAAATTTGAATAAATAATGATTTGCGAAACCAGAATAATATGAAAACTGACTGTCTAATTTATTATGAAAATTTAATTTCCTATCTCGGCCTTTGTGTTTGATCCTTGAAACTTGACCTTAACTCGACATCAAAAAATTAAACCCGTATTATTATTAATTAGCACTGTAACCTTTATTCTTAACTTTCAGAATGAATTTTATTAAATTAATGTAGAGTCTATCACAATTCACTTTAAAAAGTAAATAATTGAATTAAATATTTATGATTTTTTATTTTCTTTTGATTATTTTTTGGTAAATAAAAGTATTTTAACTAGTTCTCAATGCTTAATTTGCATATCATTTTTTCCAGTTGGTGGCAGACCCTGAGCGCAATTCGCATATAAACGCAACCGGATGAAAATTAAATTCTGCTCAACGAGAAGCTGCCGAAAAAAGCAGCGAAAACAGAAAAATCACGCGCCTGGACGCGAGCTTAAAGCTCTCCACACTCGACGGTTGCACCAATATTTTCCAGCACATATTGCGTAACATGAGATATTTTGTATGAAAAGTGGAGATTACATAGCACATTCAACTTTGAATATGAGTTCTGATACACTGGTCGAAAAAAAATGAAAAAAAAAAATGAATCCAATATCAATTCTGTATTTTTACGAATAAATAAATTTTACGTGAATATAAAACAACTATGCCAAAATTATTTACACCTCAACAATAAAACGAGAAAATAAGTTTAAATTTTTAAAAACACTGCCATGCATTGTATATTCTGCTAATAGACGAATAAACTTATGCAATGAAAGAGTGACAGCGAGTGTACGAAAGTCACGACTCATTTAGTTAATGCCATTGCGCCAGCGACGCAAATCTAAGGTGACGCCGCATCTCAACGCGGCGACGTCGTCCTCGGCTTTTCAGCGCGCCGGCGACAACAATGCGCTGGTGGAGGAGCCGGGCGAAGCAATTTGCCAGTTTTCCTCTTTATCGCAAGCTCGAGCTGTACACAGGAAAAAAAGTGGCCCAACCTCGGCGGTGCGTACTTACAACAACGACGACATATAAAAAATTGCCAGCAAAGGAAATATGGAGAGGAAACCGGCGCCTCCACCATCGTACACATTGCGCACGAAGAAATTTATAATAGGAATAATAAAAATAATAAAAGAAAGAAAAAGCAAAAAAGCGCAAAGGAGTGTGTGTGTAAGAAGTAGAATAAGAGGAGTGAGAACTTTTGCCGGGGCGTAAGGAATAAAAGTGCGTTTGCGTGCGCAAATAGGTAACGCAATAACGACGGCAAGAAATGATGGAAAATGAAAGGAAAAGAGGCAAACCAACGAGTGGCGCTTCTTTTGTGACGACATTACAATTTGCATACATCAGACTCATGCCCAATGGAAGCTGCAAATTGAGATGAAGATGGCGCAAAAATTATCTTTACCAAAAAACAAAATTTTACCAAAAAAATATAAAAAATTTTAGAATAAAAAGAAAATACTTTGAATATATGACCTAATATTTAGTTTTGTAGAGTTTGATAATTTGTTAGCGTTAGAACGTGAGCATGAGACCAGTTTGTTCCCGCTGCGGCAGTAGAACTACAGCCCCGCCGCCACTGCCGCCTCCGCTGACGGCACCGCCGTGTAGCGCATGTGCCACACAACCGCCCCGGCGCAACGCGAACGCCAGCGTTAAACGGAACGAATTTCAGTGCGGTTTACGCCGTGGTGACGCATGTTCTACCATCCATCATCTGATCCGTATCAAAATATTGGGGCGCTCACATTCCGCCTACACTCAAAAGCGCGCGTCGATTGTCGCAGGAAAACTTTGGCGAACATATCATTTTCAATTCTGATAATAACAGTGCAGTGTGGATTAATTAGCAACAATCAGTGCGTAAACTAGGATATTATATAATTCCATACATTTTAAACTAGACTCGAATTACCATCAGTAATTACAATAAATAAATAATTCTTGAATAAAACACAGTGTTATACGTCTAATTATAATAAAAAATTCAATAAAGTGTGTAAAACTCAATCAGTTACGAAGAAATTGCCTGCGACGCGTTAGTAAATAATTAAAGGGCTCGTAATCGAGTTAAAACGCCGACAAAGCGTACAATGGACGTTTCGGTGGGGAAGTTTTTAATTGAATATTGTTGTTAATTAAAATGTAGTGTGAATAGTGCCGCGTTGGATTGCAAGTTTTGATCTACTCTGATTCAAGTAATGCATGTTTTATTTATTAATATAAATATTTCTCTGTCCTAAAAATAAAAATACCAGAAAATTATTTGACAGGCCAAAAATATAAATGAATATTGCGCATTTTTAATTTCAATTTGACTTTAATCCACTCGCCGCTTTGCGGTTTTGGCCAACTTTCGTAATTTTTCTTCATTTTTGCTGCCATCAAACACACTAGTTTATGCTCAGTGTGCGCTACCGCAGAAGCTAGTGATGCAGCAACGTGTACTCGTTTAATACTCGTTTCGTGCTCGTTTTCATACTCGTCCTCTTTTCTCATTCTCTTCGTGTGCGCGCGGGGCAAAACATTTTTTAAACGCGAATGTTGGCAATACACGCGCCGCGCTGAGAAATGACTCTATTAAGCTGGCGTTGTACACGTCGCTGAGATGAGCGAGATTTTCCTACCGAAGCGATTCACTGCCGCGCCACCGCCGCCCGCTGCCGCCCCTCTACTATAGTTATACATTCATTTATACACTTGGTTGGGTCTTTGGTGACTTCGGGGCGGAGGTGCTTGTCTTGCGTTCGCAGAGTGATTATGCAATTTTTCCGCTCGGTGCGTCGCCGCCGCCGTTGCCGCCGCTAACACTGGCGTAACGAGCACTGTTCGCTGCTCCATAGAGTATAAAACGTTCGATGGTGCCGACGCGGTGTCTATTAAAACGTCAATTAACATGATTAACTCCCGAGGATTATGATAAACTTCATTCGCGTGACTTTTTGGCTACGTGATGAGCATTTTAGGAAAATCATACAAAATTTCTAATGATTGATTAAAGAATATTTTCACTGCGTTAATGACGCAATATAATCCCGGTTATTTTCATACCGCAATTGCTAAATCAATATTGTTATTTGTATTTGCTCTGTTTTTGCAACGCGTGTAGATATTAAGCACAGAAATGCGATAGTCTGTTAACATTTTTATTACGAGTGATCCAGAAGCAATTCCGTGCCATTACGCGTTTCCCCCTGACATGTGCCCGCTTATACATACCAAACCGAATTCCGATTTTTTTATCGCCTCCGCTAGCTTTCCGAGCTTTACGGTTTTATTCGAAGCGTTCGTTTTGTCCGCAGCTAATAACGGCATGTTTTCTGATTAAAGCGTGTATTTTATCGACACTCCATAAATCGAGCTGAAAACTATATTTTATTTAAGTGTTTTACTAAAAATTCTTCATCGGGAACACCAATTAAAAAAGTTAATAAAAAGTTTGATCATAATAAAAATAGAATAGGTTTTTGTTTTCTTTGAAATTATGGGTGTAAAGAATCTAAAGAATTATTTTCATAACCTTGGCTTATTTTAGTTTGTTTAAATATATAACATAAAATAGGTTGGTTATAAATTTGCATTAAAGTTAGTTTATGCGTAAAGTTTTACCAAACAAACAAATGCTATTTGTTTTTCAGGTTTGTGACGCTCGTTAAAGTAGAGCAGGTTACACAGAAAAATATTTTTATATTTTTCAGCTAGTAATTAAGTTTTGATGGGAATAAACTTTTCGTAGTTGTTTACGTTAAGTATGTTTGATCAAATAAAGTTTGTTATAAAAGTATGATTAATTTAACACAGCCACAAACCAGTCTAAAATATTTAATTGCCAATAAAAAAATTATGTTTTTAGTTTTTTATTAATTACATAAAAACTATTAACACAAAATTAACACTTTTTTCATAACTTAATTTAAAATATTTTCCGCATAGAATAAAACTTTAATTTAGTTTATTTAATTATTCTATATAAAGTTATAAGTAATTAAATTTTTGTTTTATTTTATTTTATTTTTTATATGAAAATAAAAGCGAAAGCAAAATCAGGTTTTTGCGAATTCCGCGTATCAGGGTAAACTCGAAACACCAGTTAAGCAACGGTCTACTACCCTCCAGTGTCCGTATTCCTTTTCGGCGCGGGTCGTAATGAATGTCCCTCTTAGACGCGGATTAGCCCAAGACCTTTTGTCGGCGTGTAAGAAGGATATATGTACCTCGAGGATTGTCCTCGTCCGCGGCGGCGTCTCGCATGCATTGCATTCCCCAAATGAAAATAAGTTTCATTAAGCGACAACAGTTTGTATTCATTAGCCTACATCCTGCAAGTTACAAGACTTGAGATTTAACAGATTTTAACACGCGAGCACTAAATTTATTGACAATGATTGACAAGAAACGAAAATGATTGACTTTTATTGAAAACGCATTAAATATTTATTAATTGAATGCGTAATCTAGTCAAAATTCCATCGAATATTAAATTTGGCCTGTCAAATGCAACAAATACCTATCAATTTGTGAAATGGCCTAGAAATAATCACATGCTCATTACAATCCTCCACCTCCCACCAACGGTCGATTGTGCGTTTTCATATCGACTGCTTCCTTCCGTTCCTGCGTTCCGGTTCAACCGGTTCAGCCGCAGCGTGTTTGTTCAATTAATGTGAATCAATTTGACTTTTATAGTGTCGAATTATAAACGGCTTGGGCTTAATGTCCGCCGCCGTCGCTGAGGAGTCGCTGAGAGCTGAGAATAATATGAGATGGATAAACCGGATGAAATGGATTTCGTTTGAAGTGCGGTTCTCTTGGGGTCCGACGCTCGCATCCTCCTGAGTGAAGAACGCCGAAAGCATGGATTTGCTACAACATTCCGCCAAAGCTTCCAAGTGTTTAATATTCTTCGCATTGTTTATTTTTCTATCGTCGATCGTCCTGGGAAACGCAAGTAAGTTATACGATTACCTATTTGATGTATTAACTATAGGCAACCAATAACACAGGAGGAATGTTTGAAATAGGGTTATCTATAAACAGTGGTCGATTATGGATTGATATTGTATTTGTGTTGTATGCGTGCGGTGTTGATACGGTTGGAAAAATACTCGTGTGGAAAATCGCTTCGATTGGATCCGAGGGATTCTAAGTTATTTATTTTTTGTTATGAAGTTTATATGAAGGATCGCCGGTGATAGTCTATACGTTATGCGATTCGCTACATGGGAAAGTCATTTTGCGAAAGCAGACGGAGCGAGTTGAATGAAATATATTTATTGTATTAGGGTTATTTTTATCTGCGGCCGAGCGGTGGAAAACGCGCGGAAGCATCAAATTTATGATGTTTATTGATAATACATTATGTTTGGTAATCGCTTCGGTAAACAAAACTAAAATATATCTTTTGTAATTCATATATTAATTTAGGTCATGAATATTCTGTAAGTTGCGGTTGCGATATGAAATTTAAATAATTCTATATTGCATTATTATAAACTCATAAATATAAATTTGACGCATACGTCGATCTTGTTTTATGTTTATATGTATGCTGAATGCATTTGGCACTTTTGCAGGTGCTATCAAAGCCCGTTCCGTTTCATTTCGCCCGCTGATAGATCCCGTCAAACAGTTGAAAGCGCTCCAGCGCGCCCGAACACAGAGAAATGGAAATATTCCAATATTATTCGCGTACACTTTTTAAGCGAACGCGCGGAAAATCTCTCGTTTGTGACGACGTTTTCCAATGTTTCGCTGAGTCCGTAGTGCTTTCGTGCACCAGCTCCCCGCCGCACGACGTTTTTCTCATCGTCTGCGCCTTTAAGTGCCACCGGAAACATTGCAAAAAGTAATAGAAACGGAGACGCGAACTAGTTGAAACATTCCGATGTCTAATACGTTTCCTTTCTCTTGGAATTTTATACAAAATGAAGCAAAATAAACCACAACCCAATAAAGGACTACAAAAGAATTATAATTGAATGACATTTTTAATTGGATGTGGTGTGCTTTTTAATTAAATTCTAGTTTTTAGATTCAAATCATTCAATTTGATTTATTTTTTATTTTTGAAAAAATTTTGAAAGGAATTTAATAATGATTATTTTGTGAGGTATTTTTACACACTCGGTGTATCTTACCAAGTGTGTAAGTACCTAGATTCCACACGTATCCTCCCGATTCTAAATCGACTTCCATCGAGTCCGCATAACTTTACTTTTTTTGTGCGTTTGCGGCAGGGGCGGTGGCAAAGAAGTGGCGCCTGGAAAACCAATTCCTGTGAGATTGGAAATGCGATTGCTATACTATTGCCCCGATGATACTTCTTAAAACCCCATATTTTAAATTTGATGTGATGGATTTCCAATTCCGCACCGTTTTTTTCTACTCTCAAAGCGGCAGAGAACACACTTCACTCTAATCTAAAACATTTGTACACCTAATTCGTCTGGAATATATTACAAACCAAAATTTTCCCAAAAAAATGTATTTTTCTTTCCCTGACCGAATTTTTTATGAAAAAGAGCAAAAAAATTATAATTTATACCGAGAACAACAATAAATCATATAAATCAAAAACATCCACAACTTTTCCAACATTTATTTCCGGTTATTATTGTCTCTCATTTATTAGAAAATCAACCGCAAACTTAATAAGCAACTTTTTCTCCTCGCCGTACTTGGAGCAAAGTTCCGCACGTTTCCTGACGCGTATTCATTGGTTTTGTTGCTTCGATATTTCTTCGTCGCGTGATGGCGGTGGTTGTAGTCGTTATCTAATCAAAACGTTTCGAGATTCGCTGCCGGTAAAACTTTTCTGGACAATTTAATGTTTATTCCTGACATCTCATTATCTTCATTCCGACGAGCGCCCCGAGAGCTTCCCGTCGTCCATCGGCCTGCAATAAGCACACCGAGCGCAAAGAATAGGATGTGCGGCAGAAAAAAAAAAGAAGTACGAACGAAAGGAAACGGAAATTTCCAACCGAGTTCACAGCCGAATGACGCGCCGCTCCCACCTTGATTTTCCGTAGCGTCCGGAAGCCGAACCAGTTTCCAATCCAGTGACAATGTCGACGAATTTTGGCATCAGTATAAAATCGCAAATTTTTAACGAAATACAAGTTATTTTACTGTTTCAGCCATAAAATGTTATCATACTGTCTATTTGAATACTCTATTCATCATTTATTATTTAATCCACATCTAGCCATTCAATTGATAATAATTAAATTATTTACGTCCATAAAATTAATTCGCGGTTATTTATGCTTCATTAGCTGGACATTTAATGTTCATTTATTTATAATAGTTTAAAACTATTACAAACATGCAGTTTACTACCGCTATTTATGATTTGTTCAGGTAATGATGTTATTAATAATATAGTTTAATACGTCACATTTGCGAATATTCAAAATTCCGATTTATTATCTCTACGCAAATAAATTTAACAATAAAAAATAATGGATAAATCAAATCGGGCCCTCTCCGGCGTTAACGATCGTTATCTGCGTGTAAATTTGCAAATCTAAGTGTAATAATGAGACCATAAATCAAATTTTCGCATTAACACAAAAATGAACCCTATTTACACAGCGAGACGAAACATCCCGCCCGTTTTCCGTGCGCGCACTTTTTATTCGCGTTTGCTTCATGATTCTATTATTCCGGGCCCTTCGGTGTACCCAGCTACATTATTCATTTTCGCATTTTTAAACAGCACCCGCGCTCCCTCAAACACTCTAGATCCCATGTCGGATAATAACGTTTCATATTTCGGCGATTTTTTTCTTTCTTATTCGCGTGCATATTTGATATTTGGCTGTAGAAAAAATGCGCTGGACTTTTTGGACAATTGTATGCTTTGACGTTTGCTTCAAACAGTTTAAAACATGCCGGCGCGCCAACTTTACAAACTCATTGCTATTCCATTGTGTCCAATCGACGTGCGCCGCTCGCAATTGTAATTCCGGCCCGTGTCTCGACCCATGGACCGTGCGAATCCTTCCAATTCGAGCCATATGGGAATTTAATCCGATTTATGATGGTGCGTTTTCTCTCGGCGCGCTCGTTTGTTCTGGCAACGGCGGCCGGCGCGTTTTGTAATCTTTTTTAATTACGAATATTTGCGAAAAAGGCTTAGTCTCTCAACATTCGCGCTTCGTTAGACACTACATTTTTTCACAACCCAACTTGCACATTATTAGATTACTCCCAGCGAGTAATTTACATTACTTAAATTCTAATTCTCCAAATTCGTGAAATTCAACTCAAGCATTGATTTTTATTTCTTCACAGGAAAAAACTTCCAATTCGTATAAATCCTAGTTTTCAATAAACAAACTTTTATGCAGAAATAAATGTATTATACAAAATAGGTCACACATTTTTCTCGATATCGGCAAAGGAAAGTTAGTTGCCATGCCTGGGAAACACCTGAAGCACTAAACTTTGTTTGCGAACCAAACTGCACACCGCCAATCTGTCCGCATATGGGCAATATCCAAACATGTCGCGAGTTACGTATCCAGCTTAGTCATGATCCCATAGTCCACCTGGACGCGAAATCCAGCAGGGTGTTTGCACTTGCACACTGCATCCGATAGCTTATTGTCTGGACGCAGGCCCGCATCTATGAAGCAATTTCCATCGGGTTTACTCCGAATAGTCATTGCGGGCGATTCCAAAACTAGTTCGAATGTGCTGATAATATCGCTTGTAAATTTGTGCCGACAATAGGCCTGTCTCACCAGGAGTAGTGTGCGGGAAAGCGGCTATAAATTGTTGGGTTAGTTAAAGTGGAAATAGGTAAGCCTTGCACGGGTTGGACCGAAATGTCGCGCGGCGCGAGCGTCTCTCATGCTTACCAATATCCTCCATACGGAATAAATGTTCGCACACGCGAATGTGTCGTGCCATCGCTGCCAGCGAATATGCTCCCAGTTCCCGAACGCGATGCATAAATGATACTAGGGAGGACACTTAACATTTATACGAGCATGATGTATGAGTGCATGTGCAATGTATATACAAACTTGCGCAAGCGGATTCGATGTGAGCATGAGCTATGCATGTGTTCAAATTGCCGTTTTGCAGGCAGGATTCATGAGGTTGACAAATTTATAAGCACAAGAAAGACCTCAACATGTACGCAGTGGAAGTTACTTTGGAACACTATATCTTAATATTTAATATAAAAGGTTATGTTGTGTAACATAACCTGAGTTAAAGTAAAGAAATCTGTAAGTTTATGATGCATGCCTAGGTTATATTATAGGTTAGATTAAAGTTCCGTAACAGATATTCGGTTTGTTTTCTATTAACAATATCGGGGAGTGTAATAATGTGCGTTATCTTATTGAACATGAACAATAATATTAGCGCGCGCGCGTTTCCTGACCGCCGGCGGGCGCAAAACTGCCGGCCGTTCGGCACGTATGCGACGACCGCAGGCGTGCGGCCGCATTCCAGGTTACCACGCGCGCTTCGATCTGCCGCCCCCCATGCAGCTGGCACGCGGCGGCGGCACCACCATTGTAAATCGTGAATTGTAAAAATTCGCGTGCGGCACGCAATCTGTGGCGGTGCGCGCCTCGAACGTGTGCAACCGGCTCGAACGTGATTGCCGCCTCTCGGTACACCTGAATGGATCGCGCAGCGCAGAAAAAAAAATGCAACTCAGTTTTCCACTTTATTAATGCTATTAAATTATTGTTCAACTGAACGATTGCTTTGCTATTTTATTTCCGCACAGAAAAGAAAATTTTATCCTAAGCTACAAATGATTATTTTATTGAGTTATAAATATTCATGACCAGTGTGTGTGGTTGTTGCGTCTTCCTGATATGCGAGAACATAAATTTACTTACGCCTAAATTATGAAAGTCCCCATACCATAATTTCATCTCGGACGCATGCCCCCCAGCCCGACATATAAATTTAAATAAG